ATATCAAAGTCATCTTCCTTTACCAATCATTGTATTCATGATGCAATGGAAAAGCAAATATTATTTCTTATAATATCTTCCCAAGGGACCTATTACAGCTGTGGTTATGTTTCCATTTATTGAGTAATCATTACATTCCAGGCACTGGGCTAGGTTATTTATATTCAGCATCTTATTTAGTCCTCATAAGGACCTTGCAAACTCTGTATCATTCACTTCATTTTCTATGTAAAGAAAATGAGACTCAGAAAGGAACACACTGGTCTCAAAGTCATTAAGCTGTTTACCTGCAGAGCCAGGACTAGAATCTAGAATGTCCTTCCTTCCTTTCTTCTTTTCTTTCTTCCACATCAAAGTCCTTGTACACATTTTCACCACTTGTGTGGCTAACCAGCAGGGTAAAAGCCCATGAATATCACCTTCATTAAAAAAGTTAGGTATTTTCCCCTCAAATTATGTATTTTGTCACCAGCATCATGGATTCTCTGTGACATAGACTGGTTGGCTTTATACAACAATAATTTTTTAAAAACCTATGATTTTATGATTTATTGATTCTCTGTGACATAGACTGGTTGGCTTTATACAATAATTTTTTAAAAACCTATGATTTTATGATTTATAATGTGTATTTGGTCTTAGTTCCCATTTCTCTCACAGCTCTCCTAAAACCCTTGAAATTTCCTAAGTGTTGAGAGCAACAAAGATGCCTTTTGTTATGTTAATGAGGTGACCTTTGGAACACACCTAAGGAAGGCAGCTGGTTGTCTGGAAAGCCAACCATGTGATTAGAAGGTTGGAACTTTCAGTCCTACTTCTCCCCACCACCTCCAGGGGGAAGAGGGGCTGGAGATTGAGCCAGTTGCCAAATGCCCAGTGACTTAATCAATCATGCCTGTGTAATAAAGCTTCCATACAAACCCAAAGGAGGCAGTTCAGAGGGCTTTCAGGTTGATGAACACATGGGGAGAGCATGAAAGCGCTGAGCTCTTTCCCCATGCTTTGCCCTACACAACTCTTCCATCTGAATATTTATCTGTAGTTTTTATTGTGCCTTTTTAAAATAAACTGGTTACTCCAATAAGTAAACTGTTTGTCTGAGTCCTGTGAGCTACTCTAGCAAATTAAGCAAACTCAAAGAGGGGTTGTGGGAACCTCCAACTTATAGCCAGTCTGCCAAGTTCAGAAGTACACGCAGTAACCTGGGTTGGGAGTGGGTGGACAGTGTTGTAGGACTGCTAACTTGTGGAATCTGGTGCTATTGCTGGGTAGGTTGTGTCTGAAATGAGTTAATTCTTGCACACCCTGCTGCTGTCCATGAATTGCTTGTTGGTGGTGTGGGATCCCTTCCCCCCATCCACACATGGAAATTAGTTCCCAGAACCCCCATTTAAAATCATTTTAGACTTCTACTAAAAAATGAAAACTGATTTCCAAAGCTATAAATCTTTGATTGCATCACTAAGAAACAGAATAGAACCTAAAGTGCTCTAAAAAAGAGAGAGAGGGGGTAACAGGAGATTGTCAGTATGATTTTACAGTTGGTATTCTTCACAGGGAGCCTGAGCAGAGTAGAAAAGCATCTGTCATCAAATGTTGCAAAGGCCACTGCCCTAGTTAAACTGTTGTGAACTGGGGCACTTGAGTCTGAGTAATTCAGGACTTTTATTTTCAGCACATGTCCCCAATCATTCCTGTAGAAATGAAGGCCACCTCTTGACTCCAAATATGCCATTTACCCTTAGCTCATACCCTGTAACTTTTATCCAACCAGTAAAGATAGAAAACTAGAAAAATGTTACATTCTCAGATAATAGAAGTAGAAAGCATTTGAGCACAAGGGAAAGTGAAAAAGTTTGCTAGGATCTACAAAACCAAAAAGATATTTCTAGTTGTATGCCCTAAATGTGCTTCCTTTCACTTTATCATTTGCTCTGTAACATACCCTACTGACCATAAATGTTATCATTTATTTAAAAAGAAAAATACTTCCATTTCATACAAACCCAAATAATGCATACACACTGGGAATGGGAGAAGGTGGCCTATATTTGGGGAGATATTTCTTTCTAAATTCTTACTAGATCTAAATATGCATAGCTTATTTCAACAAGAGTTCAGAAAGATAACCAGGAGTGATGCAAGTATCACTTTAGTCCCCTCAGTAATTCTAGATTCTTCTATGGTCTTTTATTGTATTACTTTTCCCTGACAGGTAAAGCTCTTTGGCTTTGTTTAGTATTGGCCAAGGTCAAGGGGAAAGGATAAATCTGAGTAGAATAAATAGTAGACATGCTGACAGCCATGACGATGTAATGGGATTTTTTTGTTCCGTAATAGTCAGTGTTATGCTGTGGTTATGGACTCAGAAATCAAGCTTCTTGGATTCAAATCCTGGTTAATGGCTGAATAATGCTGGGTCTCATCTATAAAACGAAGGTGCAGATAAGAGCACTTCAAAGAGTTCTTGTGAGGTTTAAGTGAGTTGATAATATAAAGCATCTAGATCAATGCATAGTGAGTCCTCAGTAAATATCAAAATTAGAAAAATTTAATACATGAAATTTCTCATATGTCTTCCAAAATATTTTCATATAGTTACCTAGTATTAAGCCATAGATTAACAATAATTGATTTTAACTCACTGCCTCTTATAATAGTTGTAGATTGTTTCCAATTTTTCAGTTCATATTGTCTTATTTTTTCAGATTAACCTTAAAATTACTTTTCCAATGTCTGAGAAAAATACTCATAAATTTTTAATTGAAATTATATTAAACCTATACATTTATTTGGGGGAATATTCTTTTACAAAGTCTATTTTTGTCATCCTGGCATATAATATAGCTATTTACATATTGTAGTATTAAAAAGTGACCTAATATTTTATAATTCTTTTCATAGAGATCATTTATATTTATTTTTACACTAATTCTTAGATAATTCATAATTCTTCCATTAGTAGCTTTTAAATAGAATTTATTCTTATTACTCTTAGGAAATATTTGGTATTTTGTTTAGTGGCTTTTTATACAGATGTTATAATTTTTAAAGTAAAAAAAGTCAAACCTTTTTTGCATAGAAAGTCTTAATTTATATCCTGAATTTAGAGCAAATTTTACCTATAACTTTTTTTTAGTAAAACCACTTTCTAAAAGGTAAAAGTTGTAAGTCCATAATATAAATATATCTCTAAGAAATATGGTGATATTATGAAGAATCACTACAATAAACAAAATTCTTGCTTCATCTTCCTTAAACAATGAGTCACTAAGACAATCTCAGTCAAATAGAAAGCAAGAACTTAAAAAAAACCTCACTATTTCATTAACGGATCCATTAATGGATTATAAACTACAGAAGTCTAACATTTACTACTGTTTTGTCTTCTTTTCTACTCATCCCTACTTTAGCATTCTCTTCATAGTTCTGTAATTGCCTTGTTTAATAATTATTTACTTTGTTTACGATCTATTTCCCCTCCCCCACTGATTTACTATCTACCCCCCTTATTGGTTTCAGATATGCTATGTTTGAGAATATTATATATATGTTAAGAGCTTAGGAGAGAGTGTTAGGTGGGAGATGGGAATTTGGGAGCCATTAGATTTTAAAGCTATGCAATGAAATGAGTATATCTGGCAAGTGACTATAGATCAAGAAGAGATTTGATGTTGAGAAGAAGAAAGGCCAGCCAAAGAGTGAGAAGAAGCCACCAGTGAGGTAGGGAAAAAACAAAAAATAAAACCAGAATCTGTGATGCTCCAGAAGTCTATGGAGAAGTAAGTACAGCACAGGGCTGAAGGAAATCAGTAGTAATCAAATACCTGTCAGTTCAAATAAAATGATGCCTAAGAATTGACCATTGGGTTTAGACCATTGTGGAGGTTGTTGCTGGTTTGACAAAGGTGGTCTTAGTGAATAGAGTGATGAAATCTGGACTGGAATAGAAGAAAAGGAACGGATAGTAATAAAGTGAAGGTAGAGATAATAGACAACTCTTTCAATATTTTTTTGCAACAGAGAAATGGGCTATAACTGGAGAATGATGTTAAATCAAAGGATTTTTATTTTAAGATAGGAGATATTGAACCATGTTTATATGCTGATATGAGTTTTGATTGGTCAAAAGGAAAGTGAAGGCTATGCAAGTGGCAGGGAAGAGATGGACAAGAAGGAATGCAAAGTATGTGTGTGTGTGTGTGTGAGATAAAGATGCATGCAGGTTGGTAGATCTGGTGATGGGACTATGAAGTGTTTTTTTCTGGATGTTTCTAGCTTTCAATGAAATAAAAAGAAGTTTCATCAACTAACAGCGAGAAATGAGAAATTTTAGAGATTCGAGGAGTGAAGAAATTGTGTAACATAATCATCTCAGGAAGTGTGAAAGCATTTTAGCAGGGTAATGTAGTATGAGTCCAAAGGTAGTACCAAAGCCCTTGCTGAGTAGCTCAGCTGGCTAGAGTGTCATCCCAATATGCCAAGGTTGTGGGTTCAATCCCTGGTCAGGGCACATACAAGAAGCAACCAATGAATACATAAATAAGTGGAACAACAAATCGATCTTTCTCTCTTTCTTGTCCTCTCTCTCTCTAAAATCAGTTAATAAAATTTTTAAAAATAACGAAAGACATACTGAGGAGCCATTTAAGATACAGTGATATAATTAAAGTGAAACAAGTGGAATTTCCTCTAGGGAGCAAACAGCAAGGTTACTGAGGATATACGCAGGAGGGAAATTATAGCAATGAACCATGGCATCTAAACCAAGTAAGAAGGAAGTGAGGGTTTGAAAATATGGTGAGTTAATTCATTGTCCAGATGAGACCAAAGAACAGTTGCTAAAGTAACTGAATTGAAAGACTGGAGTTATTTGAATCTCAGGTAAAAGAAACCCTACATAACCCACCCTTACAATTCTCCAAAGGGGCTGGACAATGTTACTCTAACCATAGGCACACAACTTGAGCCCTGATGAAATAATCTCAGAAGGCTAACTATCCAGTCAGCATGTGATTTTATTTACTTACAATTTCTCAGAAATGCATCTATTGAGAAAAGCAGGCTCCATCAGTACAACAACTTTATCCCTTTTATTTTAAAGTATGTTTATATGTTTTAATGCATCAAGCTGAGACGCAGAACATCATTCAAACCAAGCATGCTATTAGAGCAGCATCCATAAGTGCCTTTTTGTTTTTCTGCTTATTAGTCTCTTAATAGCAATAAAACATATTACCAAATTTGAAAGCTAATACATTTCCAGAATAATCTGAACAGCAAATAAACAGAATCTTGTAATGCTGTCTCAAATACTCTTCAGAAAACTGTTAAGAGGGCAAAAAGTCCATAAAGTAAGGCACACGGGTAGGCAATGAGAAGCTGTTGTCCTTCCATGTCCAAGGCGGAAATGAAGATTTTGGAAGCTGAGAGACTACACCAGACAATGATGACCAGTGCCAACACAGTACCGATCGTGCCCCTGTAGTAAAGACAAAAGAGATGGTTACCTTACATCATGAGAAAGAGGTTACTGAATCAGAGCTGCCTTTGAAATGTCTTTGGTACCATATTTATAACTACTTTCTCATTTGTAAAATGAGGGTGAGGAACCATATGAACTTAAAGGTGTTGGCCAATGGGACAGGACTGGGCGAGACAGGCCGGGCATGCCCTGGAGCCAACCTCCCCTGCCACCACAGCTCAAAGGGCTGGGTGAGCAGCAGGGTCCCTCTGGCAGTGGGGTCACTCGGACTGGCCTGTGGGGATTGGGCCGAAACTGGTTCTCCAACACCCCCCGAGGGGTCCCGGAGTGCGAGAGGGCACTCTGCAAAGTTGTTGTTGAACAGGGTGTGGAATGCAAACGCAAGTGTGTAGTAAACCAGATTCAGGACCGCCAGTGCCCTAGGAACAACATAACCCACAGCCGAAGGTGGAATTGCACAGCCCCACGAGGAATTGGGCTCCCTCCTCTCTGGTTTCAAGGTGCGTTGCCCGAGAACCACTGCTGCCAAGTCACCACAACTTGGTGGCTCCTGCATTGAGCGTCTGCCCCCTGGTGATCAGTGCACATCATAGGTACCGGCCGGTCAGACTGTCGGACAGTCACTTAGCTTTTTATATATCTAGATTATCCTATATAATAAAAGGCTAATATGCAAATGACTGAACGGCGGAACGACCGGTCGCTAGGACGTGCACTGACCAGCAGGGGCAGATGCTCAATGCAGGAGCTTCCCCCTGGTGGTCAGTGTGCTCCCACAGGGGGAGCGCTGCTCAGCCACAAGCCAGGCTCAAGGCTGGTGAGCGCAGCAGTGGTGGCGGGAGCCTCTCCTGCCTCCACGGCAGTGCTAAGAATGCCCAAATGATGGCTTAGGCCCGTCCCCCGAGAGCTCCTGGACTGCAAGAGGGTGCAGGCCGGGCTGAGGGACCCCCCCACCCCGGAGTGCACGATTTTCGTGCACTGGGCCTCTAATATCTAAATAAAGATTAAATGCTTTTCTAAAATGTCTATCTTTGGTATTGGTACGTTCTTTATGTAATATCCTATCCAATGTAGGGTTAATAACATAAAATGTGGATCCTCCAAGAAAAAAATACAAATTATGTCTCATTACAATGTGGAATCATGAGCACTGATGGCAAATGTTTATTTCTACTTGGGCTTAGAGCATAACAAGTGATAAAGGACGATGTAATTACTTGGTCTCCCCAATCAAAGTGGTTGTGACATGCAGCTGTCCCGGGAGAGTGCCTGACAGAAACTTAGCTACTGCATTCTTACTAATGGTTTTGGATTGCAAATACTAACTGCTCAGGAAGTAATAAAGAAAGAAAATTCTTGACTGAGCACATATGCCATAAAACTCTCTAGCATTAATATCCTCATCAGGGTTTCTGGGAATTCTGCACCACACGGAGCCCAGCTGAGAGAGAACAGTTGCCTCCCACCTAGAAGACAGAGTGCCTGGGAGCTGAGGCGATTTGTCAGCAGTTCACCAGGCACTTACTCTTCCACAATCAAACAAGTGAATTTTTTAAAGATCTTCCATTACCCATGACAATAGCTCATATTGAAGAATGTGACAACTCACAAAGTGCCAGTTTTAAAGATTACTTGGTGTAATCTATTTTTTAAATCACTGATATAGAAACAGCACCTTAGCCAAAACTGACCTACTTCCCTGAATCTGCCTGTAGCTTTTTTAAAAATATATTTTTATTGATTTCAGAAAGGAAAGGAGAGGGAAAGATACAAACATCAATAATGAGAGAGAATCATTGGTCAGCTGCCTCCTGCATGCCCCGCACTGGGGATCAAGCCTGCAACTGGAGCATGTGCCCTGACCGGGAATGGAACCATGACCTCCTGGTTCATGGGTCAACACTCAACATCTGAGCCAGATGGCTGGGCGTGCCTGTAGCTTTTAATAGTCATCAAGTCCCCAACTCCACTACCAAAATGCCTGGGAAGAGGTCAGTGTTGCACTGGTGTGGCACGCCTTAGCAGTGACTGTGCATGCGGGGTCTATCAGTGAACGAGGACACTTACTGCAGTGAAAAGAAGACGGCGCCGCTGGACAGGATGACCATGGGGAGCAGGCAGTATCCCAGCACACTCGCCACGCAGCCATAGGACACCCCGGAAGAGCTCATCAAGTTTAGTAAGGCATAAATCCCTAGGCAGCCGATGGCACTCATGCCATATATGTAACCAAACTGAACTTTTCCTGCCTGAAACAGGGAGAAGAAAACAGTTTGAATGAATACACAGAAAGCATCAAGAGAAAAAACAGGGTGTCAACAAATCAGAGAGCATTTTAGAATCAATCAGCTCAGCGCTGTTCCATATCTTTGTAGTGCTTACAATTATCAGGAGGCTGGGAGTTCTGGGTAAAACACTGACTATATTATGAATTCAGGTCCTGAAAACAAACACCCCTGACTATACGTGGGATGGCACAAGCATGCTACAGAGAAGGTGAAATATTTTTAGGTTTATTTCTTTTTTATCACAGATTGCCTATTAGAGCATAAGTAAGAATATATTTTCTCCCCATATTTGTTAAATAATTAAATAAATGAATCAAATAATGAAAAAAATTCCAATTTAGTCTTGGTTATTTACAAGGCATATTGGTAATATAAGCAAAGACCCATAGGAATTGCTATGTTAGGGCCTATTCTAAGCATTTCTATAACTTGTTTAATCTACACAACCATCCTATGAGATAGGTAGCATTATTTTATCAATTTTACACAGGAAATTGAGGGGCGGAAAGTTTAAGTAACTCCCCAAAATAAAATAATGCTAATTGGTTGAAGTTGGCTTTGATCCCAGGTAGTCTGGCTCTAAAATTTAGGTCCTTAACTACAGGAGCTTTAATAATGGAACTTATTTAACCTTTTATTACCCAGCATATACTAAACTTACCACAGAAAATTTTGTTTTCATAATGCCTAGAGCCAGTTTAACTGAACATACTTTATGAAAAGTTGATTTGTATAAACTACCTGGTAATGAATCATAAAAGAGGTACTGTTAAGGGAATTCAGTGGTGTTCAGGATATACCACTGAGCTTCTGAGGACTTATAAAAATAGCCGCCACTCACAAAGCACTAGGGTCTAGGAGCTGAAATATCTTCATTAAACTCATCTTGGGTAAGTACAATCTACTGTTAATTGAACAGAGGATATTTTAATGTTGGCTACCTGAGGATGCCAACGCTCCAGTCGAGAATGATTTTAGTTTTTACATTTACATTAAACTGACTAGAAATTCTAGATAAAGGTTGGATCAATTGACTTTGGTTCTCATGGGAATTATTAAAAAACAACAAAGGTCTGGTAAGTTGATTCAGAAGTTTTTCAGCTGTCTTTTTTTTTTCTTCTCCATAGCTGTTATTTGTGAAGTCCTTATGTCTTAGAGAACAAAGAAATATTTATTAATGAAGGATATTGGAAAATGTTATGACCATTTTAATGATCAAAACTTTCCAGCTATTTTCAACTCTTCTTCTTCTGTAGTTATGGAGGCTGGTCACTAAGTTCTTTCACAAAAATGTCCCTGGGCTACACTGGCAGAATTCTCTCTTGCATTAGCCAGAGTAAGTTCTCCTTGAATGTCTTTTGTATTCTTTTGGAATTCTTTTGTATTATTTTGTGAAATAATGTTATGGATGCTAATGGACATTCTAAAAAACACACACATCAGTTATGCACTGCACCACTGGGTGGGTTTGCTCAACTTGGAAAATAGTGACACTTTCAAATCACTTTTAAGTAGTAGAGAAACATCTTATTTAATATTTTAACTGAATGTGATAATTCTGAGGTAATGATAGCTGTAATGGTGAAAAGCAATTTCTCTACACCCAAAGGACACATAGTCTGAATTTCCTGGCCCCAAGAAGTTTTGTGATTAGGGTGGGGAAAATAAATGATGAATGAAACTAATTTGGTAGCAAAATTGTCCCTTTCCATATCAGTTATTGACATTTCTTTTCATCTTGCTCTTTTGTTATTTTATTCAATTTAAAGTACAATTCCACTTGGCAGGGGCCACCACCATTTTTTAATTTGTTTTGAATTGTAACAAGGGCTTGTAGTTGAAATGGAAAATAAATGTTCCTTTTTTTTCTTTTTCTTTCTTTCTATTTTTTTTAATTACCTACAGAGAACAGATCCCAGATCCTTTGTTACCAGAGAGCAGAGAAGAAGAGGGTTAGGAGTGGACTAAAGGGGTAAAAGGTGTTAATTGTATGTTGATCAAGAGTAACCAACCTTTAGGGGGAGATCACTTTGTAGTGTATACAGATGCCAAATTATAATGTCATACTCATGAAGTATTTATAATTTAAAAAAAGAAAGAGTTCCATTTCTTTTTAACCTCAAAATTTTCAGGATCCTTCCTGCACTACCATCTTCATACTAAATCTGTATTTGAAATACTTATTCATGTGATTATCCTATATAATAAAAGGGTAATATGCAAATTGACTGAATGGCAGAACGACTGGTTGCTATGACACGCACTGAGCAGGCAGGCAGGCAGGTGAGCAGTCAAGGGTGATCAGGCAGGCAGGTAAGCAGTTAGGGGCAATCAGGCAGGCAGGCAGAGTGGTTAGGGATGACCAGGCAGGCAGGCAGGCAGGCAGAGCAGTTAGGGGCAATCAGGCAGGCAGAGTGATTAGGGGCCAGCAGTTAGGAGTGAGCAGGCAGGCGAGCAATTAGGAGCCAGCGCTCCTGAATTGTGAGAGGGATGTCCAACTGCCGGTTGAGGCCCAATCCCAGGGATATCCCCTGAGGGGTCCGGGATTGCAAGAATGCACAGGCCGAGCAAATTTTGTGCACCAGGCCTCTAGTACTGTTATATTGACCATGCATATTCTTTTTTCAGATCACACTCTTAGATCTATCCAAAAAAAAAAAGACCCATAGCTTTAAATCACTCATGTTTATTGTGTTGGGGTGAAAATAGTTTTGAGAGAAATAACAAGTAAAACTAAATTTGTGTTGTGTTTGAAGCTGTTCTTTTTAGTTTGCCTCCTTCAGCATGAAGAAAGTCCACTAAAAGGTATTGTGCCTTATATCAACATAAATCAAAAATGATGAGTATGTGACCGTGAATCTTATACCTCCAGGGACAATGAGTAGATTTGGATATTGGTTCTGGATTTACTTTTGCTTTTTCTGGTACATATATATATATATCAGTCCATAAAATCATCTTTTACATCTTTATTGATTTTTTTAAGAGAGAGAGAGAGAGAGAGAGAGAGAGAGAGAGAGAAATGCCAATTTGTTGTTCCACGTATTTATGCACTCATTGGTTGCTTCTGGTATGTGTCCTGACCAGGGATCAAACCCACAACCTTGGCATATCAGGACAATGCCATTCTAACCAACTGAGCTACTAGGCAAAGGCTCATCCTTTACATTTTAATTGGATATATCCAGAGTCAGGTTAACTTAGCTTCAAATGAATTCTGAGTTAAATCTGACTTCACTAATAGCCACTTTGTTTGTTTTGTCCTTATTGCTCTACATGTGTCAGAATCAATTCCTAAGTAACCACATTCTAATGTTAAAATTGAAATGATAATGTTTTCCTAAAAAGTTTCAGAAAATATCCATTTTCAAATATTCCCCAAAATTTCAGAACTGAACGGAACTTAAGTACCACTTTTAATAAATCTTGTTTTGTCCTCAAAATGAAGAAATAAAGTTCAAGAAACAGGAAACAAAAGATTCAAGATCACACCTAGAGGAAAAGTTCGGGTAGATTCAATTTTCTTACTTCCAATTGATTTTTTTGTCTATATAGCTTTGTACTATTTAAGACAAAAGAGAGGATACTCAAATAACTCCAAATAACATTGTACACCCTAAAAAGATCTTAATGGAATTAATAATTTCCTTTAAAGGATGGTGCTGGTAGCATTTCTACAGAAAAAACAACAACACACAGCTGTTATATTACTTGAAAAAGAAAGATGAGTTAATATATTAAATTGATTGTTTCTGACTACTTGATTAATTGACATGGTTTTACTTAGCAGCATTTAATCTAAGATTATCAAATTACTGTGACAGAGACAGAAGGGAGGTTAGAGACTAAATTAAAACTCCAGTTGATATAGTATTTGATTTATAGAGTATTTGTATTTGCTGTAGTTCAAAGGAAGAAATAGATGCTATCACTAACTACTATTGTACTAGATAAATAAACTATGATTATTAATCACATTATTATGCAGAAACTAGACTTCTATCAGTGTTTTGATACTGGTATTAAGTAGTTAATAAATAAAAAGTAAAAATTTATTTAATTGCAAATAACACTTTACAGCTACTTTTAAAAATTGTAACTACAGTGCAGAAAAACAATTATGGGAAATAGCTGTAAGAAAGGAAAGTGAACAAGGCCTAGAATTTTTAATTTCCTGTATTATTTCTCCTGCAAAGTTTATCACTTTATGCTTTAATAAAGCCATATTTTTTTCAGGCTAACTTGACCATATTTTTCATCCTGTGTTGTGTTTTTTATTAATACCCACCTGAGCATATGATTATTGATTTGAGAGAAAGAGAGAAAGGGAAACACTGATGTGAGGGAAACATCGATCGGTTATCTCCTGCACATGCCCTGACCCGGAGGACTCTCCAACCAAGTGAGCCACCCACCTGGGGCCATCCTCTGTTTTTAATGTATTATCATTCTCTTTTTGGTATAAAATAATAAACCTTTTCTAAGTTTTTCTTTCTTTTTAAAAATGAAACATGTTTTCCAAATGATAAGCTAGAATGCTATCTAAACTTAACTTAGGTGGAAATATGTGACTTAAAAATTTTTTTGGCCTATTTTGATATTATTACTCCCAGATATAAAGAATGAAAGAGGCACATACACAAGGGAGATGGTGAAAGTCAGGGGGGAAAATGTCATCATAAAAAGCATAAAGCTGCACTAGTTGGTTTGGCTCAGTGGATAGAGCATCAGCCTCCAGACTGAAGGGTCCTGGGTGTGATTCCAGTCAAGGGCACATGCCTGGGTTGCGGTCTTGATCCCTAGTAGGAGCCATGCAGGAGGCAGCCAATCAATGATTCTCTCTCATCATTGATGTTTCTATCTCTCTCTCCCTCTCCCTTCCTCTCTGAAATAAAAATATTGATTTCAGAGAGGAAGACCCATCTCAGACTTCATAGGATACTAGAAATACCATAGAGATACAACTCAACCAAGAAAATGATGAACAAAGAGAAAGGATTTGTCCGGTGTCACAATACAAATTTCACCAAAAAGCAAGAAATAAAATTTAAGCCTTATATTTCCCAAGCTCATGTGCTCCTTCAACTATTCCAGATTGACATTTTTTTCTTAATAACAATAAAGACCTAAATGATTAGCTGCTTTATAAAAAAAATTGATTTGGTGATTTTTATCTTTAAAATTTTATTTAAATTTCTATTTTTTTTTTAATCGGTTGTAATGCATGATGGCAGTTTCTATTTTGTCACTATAGTTCTATGAAACATGTTTCTATCTCACCCCCAAAAAATGTAGCCACAAATTAAACAGACAATTGTCACTTTATAAAGTGACATACTGCCTTCTGTGTTTCCAAAGCACTCTGCAAAAATCACATTGGAAAGGACACACGTTTAAATCTGCTGCTGCTGTCCTTTACCAGAAGCAGGGTGGCTCCCAGCGCCACACAGAACAGGATGGGCCCAGCCAGGTCGGTTTCATTCATAATGCTGCCATCTGCTGGCTTCAATGGGTTTAACACTGTCAAGGTTTTTTGCCATATGTGATCAAAATTAATTCCAAGTTCTGCAAAAAAAAGAGGGGAGGGGAGTAATATAAATATATAAAAGTATTTATATTAAAAATATAAACCTCAGAATATAGAACATCAAATATAAACATCAAATATTAGAAAAATAAACATCAGTAATATTCTTTTATTAAAGTTACTATATTTGATTCACTTGCTTAGAATTTTAATCTGATTGTTATAACTTTGTAATCTAAAACTCCAAGTAAAAATTTAAACCATAAATAAATAAAATTAGCTGAACCGGTTTGGCTCAGTGGATAGAGCGTCGGCCTGCAGACTGAAGGATCCCAGGTTCGATTCTGGTCAAGGGCATGTACCTTGGTTGCGGGCACATCCCCAGTGGGGGGCATGCAGGAGGCAGCTGATCGATGTTTCTCTCTCATCGATGTTTCTGGCTCTCTATCCCTCTCCTTTCTTTTTTGTAGAAAATCAATAAGATATTAAAAATAAATAAATAAATAAAATTATATTTTTATTTGCAAACAATGAGCTAAGAGAAATATTTTAGACAATTTTCTTCCATAAGAAAAAGTATCCCTGACTTATGTAGCCAATACAAGCTTAAAATCTAGATGAAAATTGAGAAATGAACATTCTACAGTAAAAACTAAAATGTAACGGTAGACCCAAAGTCCCATCCTATTGCCCATTTAGACATGTCCTTTCCTTGCAATTTCCATTGCTAACACTTTGGAAATATCAAACGTAGTATAATTTTTCCCTAGAAGAACTATCTAAACTAGAGATATTTGTCCCAGATCTGGGACTTCCTTTGAGAGGAGAATGCTGCCTGCCTGAAACACCACAGAGAAGAAAGGGAATGGCCTTTTCGGCAAGTAAACGGAATCATGATGTGCACGCCTATTTTTACACGCTAAATGCTCTGTGCAGTTGAGTCTGTGTAGAGATTAAATTCTTTTTTAAAATGTGTTTTTATTGACTTCAGAGAGGAAGGGAGAAGGAGAGAGAGATAGAAACATCAGTGATGAGAATCATTGATCGGCTACCTCCTGCACACCCCCTACTGGAGATGGAGCCCGCAACCTGG